CTAATTTAAAAATATTACATCCAGGAAGAATTGATAATTTACTTGACATTTTTTTGCTTGAAAGGCATTACATTGAAGAAAAAAAATGCCTTCTGCAATTATAAAAGCAGTCCTTTCGGTGTCAGCCGGATGCACCCTTAACTGGCGATAGCCCAAGAAAAGGTCAAGGAAGATCATCAGAGTCGTCGACCAACCAATCAACCATTGTGTCAATTCTTGGCAGGGGATATGTATCTTTTGGGTAGGCAACACTAGGTTTAGTAAAGTCGACACACATTCTCCATTTGTCTTAGGCTTCAGAACTATCACCAAGTTCAAGAGCCAGGTCAAATATTGCACCTCCTAGATGTAGCCCATCTTCTTCAGCTTTTGGACTTCTGCTGCTGTTGACTCAGCCAACACCCTCGCGGTCGATCAAAGTTTTTGTAGCACCAATTGAGTGAAAGGGCTGATATTGAACTGGTGGCATACGAAGTTGACTAGGACTCCATTCATTTTTGCAGCTATCCAAGCGAACATTTCTTGATGCATACAAAGGGTTGTTCGAATCAATAGTTCACTATGCCCTACATAAAAGTTCTCATTGAATAGAAAAAAACTCACCAAGCTCATCCTTGTTGGTTATAAGCACCAGGAGGATGGTCTTGCTGGTCTCAAAACCTTCTTCCCTCTGGGTTTGAATTTCGAGTGGTTCCTAGTCGACACTGGGGACCACCTAAAGATAACAGCTTCTGGAATGCTTCAGGTTTCCTCAGGTTGTGATTATCTCCCTGTCTTCATGGAATTTTATTGCCATGTGGTAGGTCAAAGCTACAGCTTGGTAGTTATTCAATAATGTTTGACCTAAGATTGCATTGTAGGTAGGCAGAGATTCAACCACCAGAAAGTTCTCTGTGTTGGTAAATTATTTTCTTTGTTCTCCCCACGATACATACAACATGATTGTATTCAGGGCTTCTTTCTCCTCAACTAAGAAGCTAAACAATAGGCCAGCCGGTGCACCAATCAATAGGTTTTGAGTTCCATCCTATTGAATTATGTTTTGAACAAGATATTGACTGAAATCCCTGTGTCGACTAGGATGCTGGCCACCTAGTAGTTGTTTATAATGGTTGTGATGGTGATAACATTGTAATGTGAGTTTCCCTTTAATGGAAGATTAACATCTATAAAAGTGATCGGAGGGTGAGTATGAGTGTAAGAGTTGACAGAACACTCCTCCCCAGATAGTCGGGATAACCCTCCACCTTCGTTGAGGATAGTCAGGATGATCCAAGCTAGGTGGATTTCATTTATCCAAATGGGTTGTTGACCTCATTTTTGGTTGAGGTCTAGAAAACTTCTTTAGTAGCCTAGGTCTAGCCATAGGACTTTCTTATTGACTAGTCTTAGAAAATTAGAAGAGGTACCCCACCATTAGAAATTTACCTGTCGTTATGTGTGTGCTCCAACGACGATGTTCTCCTTCAACTTTCTTCCTAGATGAGCCCCTCAGACAAATTTTTGCGGTGATGACATTCCTCCATGTCAAGCCCGTTGTACCGATGGTAGGCACAATATTTGTTCGAATTGCACAATGCTGGTGCGGTCTTCAACAGAGGGGATTTATTTAAGTAGACCTTATTTTGAATGGTTTGGACTAGTCCGACCATTGACACATTCATGTGTGTTGAAGCTTGCATCTCCTGGTGTATGTGTGGTCGTTGAAGTACCGTGACAACAACTAATTGAAGGGGTGTTTTTGTTGACCTGAGTTGCTTTGGTTGCTCTTTTGGTTGTCTCAGGAGCCTGGGCCGCCATTCAATCGACAGTCAAGAGCTCAATCTCTCTTTGGCCTTCTATCAGTATCCCAATTCTTCAGCTTCTACACTCAGTGGTCGGATGCATTTGGTTTAATTTTATAGGACTCATAAGGTCCTCCTTGGCGGCGATGTGGTTATTTGCCAATTTCAAGACAAAACCTCAGCGAAGGTCCTTGGCTTGAGCAGGTTCTAGTCGTACCAAAATTGCTTGCAGAAGATCCTCTGCTTTAGGGAGGTCTGGGTGATGAGAGGCTCCAAGTTCTTCACCTCCAACATTTTCTTTTGGAAACAAGTGATGTAGGTTTGCAAGCTTTCGTTCTTACCTTGTCTGATCTGAAGCATGACCTCTGTATCCTTCCTTGGTTTTTGTGTGGTAGCAAAGTGTTTCAGGAAGAGCTTCCGAAATTCAAAGAAGGACGGAGTGACTCCATCTGGTAGGTTATTAAATTATCAAGGCGTGGCTTCTTTTAGCGTGGTCAAGAACAACCGACACTTCATGGCGTCAACAACCTGTAGGACTCCTACCGTCAACTCAGAAGAAGTGCGATGATTAGCCGAGTCACTCTTTCTTTTGTAGGAGTCAAAGTGAAGAATTCTAAGCTTTGTCGGGGGTATTATTTCTAGGATCCTTTGAGAGAAGGCACTAACTACAATCGACCAAGTGAGCATTGTCACTCGGTCTATCCGATTTGGGAGCGCCGTCGTAGACGCGTCGCTGTCTGCCGATTGGGAATCTTCTTGTACTTCGGTGTTTGGTCAGTGGCCATGCCAACCGTGGACTGCTGGCAGATTGTCGAGGGGAGTCTTCTAGAGGCGGCTTCACCAAGACACTCCCTCCACGGGCGACGATTGGGTGTTTTGTAAGATTATGACTACTCGAAGAGCTTTAAATTTGACCATTATTTGTGTTTGTAATGTCTGGACCTCTTCCCGTACGTCTTGGCGCACCATCTCTCTATTGAACTCCATGGGCACTATTTCTCTCCATTGGGATTCTCCTTTTTAGTTGGATCTGCTTTTTGTCTGGGGCATATCCAGCTCACCGTACTACCTTTCAGGATGTTGAATCCTAAGTTGTCTGTTGTGAACATGTATCGAGAGTTAAAACTAGGATAATAAGGAATAGAGAGAAAGAGAATAATTAGGCCAATTCCTGTAGCGAAATTGGGGAAAAAGGTCCATTTATTCGCCATTTTACCTCCTCTTTATAGAAATGTATTTGTATAATTATATAAAAGAGGGAACATTTAAGAAAGCCACCCTTAACATGGTTAACTATGTTGATTTCATACCAAATCTGTATTACAAACTGAATTTGAATATGAAAGCAACCAGCAGGTCGACTCGCTTGGGTTTGACCGAACGAGGCGACCGCTCGAATGACGATCACACTCGCGGAAGTAAAAGCTGGTTAAGCGATTGGTTGCTATCGGACAACCTCGTAACGAACTTTGTGGTGACCAAAGCTATAGGCGCGATCCGCTGATTGAATCTCTCATTATAGTATGCTGGCTGACTACGACCGGGTACTCAATTTTTGAATGAACGCTTCAAATTATGTTCATTTATTCTGACACCTCGATCACCCTACCACTATTCCGGGACATTGAATTGTTTTGAGAATCATGCCAGCAGTTCTAATGTAGACAAAATTCTATGACTTTTTCTTAATTATTACTACACAAATATAGGTTCAGGTTAGGATAGTATTATCTCTTATTATTATTATCGATCAAATTTAATAATTGTGCACGAGCTTGCAAGCTTGTTCTTTTGTCGACAAGGTTCTCTTAATACATCTAAAGTCAAGCTTGATGAGATATCAAGTCCATTGAACAGTTCTAGCATTCGTTTCCGGCACACATAAAACTACGACTTTAATCTATTATTATTATTATTATTATTTTTTGTTTGTTTGTGAAATTTTAATCTCTTATCGTCATACGTATTTTTCTATTATTGTATTATATATTATTTCTTAATAAAGTAAAATTATCAGTCAATAAATATAATTTTAATAAAATTATTTATTATCGTCATCTCGTCATTGCACTGACGCCAGATCACCACCGGCCACCGACCTTGTTCCATCAATCTCAGCCGTTGAATCGCTCACCGCCGCCGCCATCACCAAAGCCCCGAATAAAACAGGCACCAAGCGGGAATGAAGGACCACATGGAACCCACCCGCAGTTTATAAATTGAAACTTTACCGCCACGTGTCCGCTTCTAGCCGGTTTCCCGCGGCTCGGTTCCGCAATTCAGTCCCTTTGAAATTGCGGTTCGGAATCTATCCGTCACTGTCGTCCTGCCACGTGTTGGACGATTCGAGCCGAAGAAACTTGGAAGAATAGTAAATATTTATATATTTATGTCAATTTTTCTTCAATATTTTCAATATTTATATTTCATTTTATTTATAATCAAAGCGTTTAGATTTCAAATTTATTTGAGGAAAGAAACAGTCGTGAAATTATAATAGAAAAAATATCATTAAAAAAATTACAATAATTATTCTAAGTTATTTCAGTTTCAAAAATTCAATTCATAATTAAATCGAAAAAAACAGCTTATAATCAAAAAATTTTTTTAAAAATAATAAAAAAAGTATTTTCTTGATAGAAAGTTATCCTATCAAATAAAAGAAGGAAAAAAATTTGATCAATTGCGCATGAATAAACAAAAAAATTAAAATTTTTATCATTTTACCTTCCTAGATCCAAGAAAAAATATTACATCAGGATTCCGTACATAAAGTTATCTACAGAGTCCAATGAAATCATGCCCAGAAGAATGTTCTCAGTAATATAGTTAATACAGAGGAATATTTCTCACGTGTTATTCAGGATATGTTATTCTTGCGTTATTTTGTTCTGAGAATATTTCTGGTATTATAATAACACAATAGCACATCAATAACATTTGAATAACACACAATAACACCTGAATAACATGGGAAGAATATTTCCCTATGTTACCGAGTCAATTTTTTTCTAACATTCACGTGTGTGACATGATTTCATTAGACTTCACACATAACTCTACATGTAGAATCATGATGTAATATTTTCTTCTGAGACCCGGTGATAAAAGCTAATGAAACAGTTGTATCCATAATTGGATATCTGAATACAAACAAATTCGTTTAAAATAAAAGAACAGAACAGCAGATAGTGGTAAGGTCGGCAGCCGAAGGGGATGGAAGAGAGAAAAGAGGAGAGAAGCCTGCGGCCACCGCCGCAGCCGCCCTTGCCGTCGCAGCAGCCCCTGCAGCCGCAACCCCCGCCGGCGGCGGTTGCAGAGGGAAAAGAGAGGCCTTTTCGTGGAGTAAGGATGAGGAAGTGGGGGAAGTGGGTAGCAGAAATAAGAGAACCTAACAAGCGATCGAGAATATGGCTCCGGCCCTACTTTACTCCCCTAGCGGGCGCCAGAAGCTTCGCCGTCTACCCTCTCCGAGGCCGCTCGGCGCGGCTTAACTTTCCCGATGAGCTCGATCCAGAAGAAGCGACCGGCGGACTAACAGCTGAAGTTAACGCCGCTAGTCTATCGTCGGCGACCATAAGGAAGAAAGCGAGCGAGGTAGGGTTACGAGTAGATGCCCTGCAACAGCAGGGTTTAACGGCGAAGTCTTCGAGGTCGTGTAAGAATCCAGACCTTAACCAGCAGCCGAGCCCCGAGAGTTCGGACGACGATTGAAGGACTTTTGGAAGATGAAGATGAAGAAGAAAAGAGCGAGCTTGGTTTCTTTTCTCTGTTTAGCTCTCTGTTACACTTTTTGTTTTTTTTCTGTTCTGTTTTTAACAGTTTTGATTTAAAAGTTATGGGGATTGAGGAAGAAGATTAGAGAAGTGGTGCGGTAGAACAAATCAAGATTTTGCCTTTCTTCATCTTTAAAAGTAGTGATTTTTCTGTTGATAGTTAAGAGGTGGAGAAAAAAAGAAATGATTATTTTGTTGTAATGTTTTGAGATGTGATGATATTCAGTATATTGTTTATTGTAAGAAATGTTTGGTTAGGGTAATGTTTGGGGGTTAGGGTTTTGTGTTTGGAGATAACTATGGGAAGGATGTGGCGCTAATTATTTTTAAGTAGTTGGATAATTATATTGTTGCCACGTTATTTGGTTTATTTTATGGGTTGAAAAGGTTGGATAATTGTGTGTTATTGATTAGGCAAAGGGAGGAGATAGACCTTATTTGGCGTCATTGTAGTAATGTTGTTATTTATTATTATTATTATTATTATTATTATTATTATTATTATTATTATGTGGGTGGCCTTAGTTTTATTTAAAGGAAGTAAAAAAGATTTATAACACGGAGACCCAATAACAACTCAAATAGAGACAAATTATAACACTAAATGAAATAAAAATTTTATAGAATAACGAATGCTCGCAACAGAAATAGAAGAGACAAACAAACAACTTGAACATGACCTCCATTGGAAAGGTAAGATAAAGATCGAACAGAAACAGGGAGAAAGAATCTTACACGATCATCTTCATCAAATGAGCGTAAGCAATTCGAGGAAGTAGGAGATCAACTACTCAGAAGTAGCAACGATGCAAACCAATCATCAAAGATGATAAAATATGTGCATCCAATTGAAGCAATGGAAAGAATTTCTCCAAAGTAGTCACATGTATAACAATCTGCAAAATATCAACCCAAAACAAAATCAAAAAAGTAGAACAAAACCATTAGAAAAATGGAAAATTTAACAAACTAGTCTTCAAGGAATCATAATGATAGTCCAAAATAATAAAAAAAAAGGGATAAGAACACAAATCAAACAACACCGAGAAAACCAACAATAGCAAATCCCCTAAAAAAGCCGAAGAGCCCAGAACTTACTTGCAAATAAATATTAAAATGTCATATAAGAACAATAAATATTAAAATCAAAAGATTATTAGTATTCAAATAATAAAAAAAAGGATAAGAACACAAATCAAACAACACTGAGAAAACCAACAATAGCAAATCCCTTAAAAAAGCCATAAATAAGAGCTCAGAGCTTACTTGCAAATAAATATTAAAATGACATCCAAGAACTATAAATATTAAAATCAAAAGATTATTAGTATTCAAAAATATGATTGCATTTTAATAAACTACTAGGAATCATCAAATCTCAAACCAATCTTATCATAAATAAAAAAGTTCAAGAATAAAAGATCTTATTAGAAAAAGAAAAACAAACAAAGCAATAGAATAAGAAAACAAGGAACAAAACTAAATAGTCAAGCCTAAGCAACACTCGGAAGTTGGAGAACAATAACTCAAAAGTTGCATGACTAATCGAAGTCATAGAATGAAACTCTCAAAATAGGTGAGACCATAACAATCTTCAAAATAACCCAAAATAAAACTATAAAGTAGGACAACACAGGGAAATATAAAGTATAACTAATTAGTCTACAAAATAACAAGAATAAGAAAATTAAAAAAAAATAACAACACCAAAAAATAAAAAAAATAACCTTGTCTACAAAGAACCATAATCAAAATAAAAAATCAAAAGATGGATAAGAACCCAAATAGAACAAAATTGAGAAAAATAACAACAACCAATAAGAAATGTCTCTAAATAAGTCATAAAAAAGTGTTCAGAACTTAAATGCAAATAAATATTAAACTTTCATTATGGAATTATGAATATTAAAATCAAAAGATTATTAATATTAAAAAATATGATTGAATTTTACTTAACAACTAAAGATCATCAAATTTTAAACTAATATGATCGTAACTAGAAAAGATCAAGAATAAAAGATTTACCAGAAAAAGAAAAACAAATAAAACCGTACAAAAAGAAAATAAGAAACAAAGCAACATCAGGGAGTAGGAGAGTGATCACTCAAAAGCAACAACAATAAAATCCAATTATCAAAGATGATAAAATATGCACATCCAATCAAAGTCATAGAATGAAACTCTCCAAAATAGGGAAGGCCATAATAATCTGCAAAATAACCTTTATTCAATTCCAATAATAATTTCTCTTGATTTTAAATCAATTTATTTTCAAATTATGAACATTATAAAATAGCTAATATATTCAAAATTACACTATCAAAGCCCAACAATCATAAAAAAAAAAAAAAATTGTTCATGGATTGGGCCTACACATACTAGATAGTCTACAAGCCTTTGCCAAATATTTGCAAAAACTTGCATGTAAATGCCACATAAAAAAGGTTGGAGAGAAGATCATTTTATACACACATTATAGTAAACCTATTTTTATTAAAGAAACCATGGAACTCAACATTATTTATAACAAATTAGGCTTTCAACCCAAATTGTGCTTTTCCTTAGTGGAAAACTCATACATTCAATTCACTTGGGGGAAAAGTTTCATATGAAAGTAGGGTATAAATAGAGGATAAATAATGACAACTTCTTCATCTCACCCTCTCATTGCCTAACAAACACAATGTATTCATTATTTAAAATTACGTGTCCTTTCATGGTAGCACTTTTGGGAGGTAACCTATATTAAGATCATGCCCATCGAAGTTGGTATTATGGTGTAATTACTCAAAAGGTGATCCGAGTTTATCATCACGATCACCGAACTCACCAATGAAAGCAATACTCATCATTTCATATTTCTCATTAATAGCTATTAATGATAATATAAGCATCATAAGAAGTCATGGCACCATGGTTTCATTGTTCAAGCTATAAATTGAGTACGAATCACTATGGAACGATGTAGACCCGTGACTTAAAGTGAACATTTTTCACTTACATGCAAATGTTCAAGATTAGGATTAGAAAAAAATTAAAATCAATGATTATAACCAAGGTATTGGAGTCTACATGGTTAGTTCTATCATAGTTATTTGAGACCATTTTTAACACTTGTTCATCATAGATTTGATTTGTTATTTGAGCTGCATTGATGCCTTCATGTCTCTCTCCAATATGAGTACATTCAATGATGGCATATAGTAATAAAATTAAACGTGATGCCTTGTTTAACATGACTTTAAAAACTTTATCATCATTTAGGGCGATGTAATGAAACCATTATCAATAGAAAAAAATGCTATACTTTAGCTATCCAAAATTATCATTTAAATTTTTAAGAAATTGCTTGCTTGGGACTTACATGAGAGGATCCTTTATCTTCACGTGCAAGTAGATGCAAATTATTTATCAACACTCAATTGTCTATCACATAATAGGACCAAGGAAATTAATTGACAACTCAACCACTCAACATTTCAGCAAGATTTTCTTTTAAACTAGAACACAATCAATTTTTTAAATATTAATAAAAAAATATCTAAATTATGATCATTGTTGTTAGAAGGGGATTGAGAAAAATATACAATAAATTTAACACATTAATTAGTTTAACTGCTAACCTGGCAAACATATATACAACATTTGTTTGTCACAGCTTGATCTATAATTTCTAAATTGTAGTTAATTCTGCAATATATTTTTGTGCTGTTTTGTAAGTTTTAACGTGGAACTTATTAATGTAATCTTGACGATCACATGTCATATTATCATTTGATTCAATGTATTTAACTTTGCAACTAAACAAAAAAATTTTCATTATAAAAGTGTGCTTGCGAAATTAAATAGACTAGCCAAGCACAAAAAATTTCCACATTTGTTATAGGCCATTTTGAACAATAGCGAAACACAAATTGATGGAAAAATTAATGAACTGAACCAAAGCAACAACAAATATCTAAAATATACGCAATTAGTCATACCCAGAAGTCTTCATGTTAAGAAGTTGGAGCAAAAAACCTTATTAAAATAATCTCACAAAACAAAAAGTAAATTGATTGGCTGTAGAGAAGAAATTGGTTGATAAGAGGAAGAAAAGAAGGAAGAAGTGTTTTGTTTAGCTTATGAATGAATGGGAAAAAATATAAGGTCAGGGCTCCGGATGCATCCAGAGTTCAGTGGTGGGACACCTCATGTCAAATGGGCTTAAAAAATTTTAACACTGACTAATCTCAATGTATTGTGGTGTGCCCACTTGACACATGGTCAGGGCTCCGGATGCATCCAGAGTTCAATGGTGGGACACCTCATGTCAAATGGGCCTAAAAAATTTTAACACTGACCAATCTCAATGTATTGTGGTGTGCCCACTTGACACATGACGTCTCACCATTGAACTCCTGACGCCTCACCATTGAACTCCAGACTCAAATTATGTCCGGAATGTAATATTTGCTTGAATGAATGGGTTGAAGAGAAGAAAGGGAGTGTAAAATGAGACGTTTTTGAAGGAGAAATTAATAAGAAGAGAGATTTTAGGCTCGTCGTTCGCCCGAAAAACCCCAGAATGACTGCTTCTTATCTGACAAATGATTTTGAGCTAGTCGGTCGTTGAGCCGGCGACTTGATATGCCATTTCATCATCTAGTCTCCCATTAACACTTCACTGAATTTTCTTAATTTTTAAAGTATGTTTTTCACTAAATTTCTAATATATTAATGTCAAGGTTTCACCTAAAATAATCGATGCTCTTCTCTTTACTTGCAGAAAGTGACCAAAATAGGACCAGTTTTGAACCTTCTTTATTTTATTGGCAACCGTTAACCAGCTACTTTTCATCCTGTCGACTGCTGGAATCAAATCTGGCGCAATGCTTGGAAGAAACAAACAAGCACTGCGCCATGTTTAATATACGTAATAATGATAATAATAACAGT